GCAGATACTATCCAGAATTTAGTCGACAAATAAAGCGATACATTCACTTACAGGTCAAACAACCAGAAATCAAGAAATGGATAACTCTCACATAGTTTGGAAAAAGAACAGAGATAATTGCAGGTTTCTTCAGAAAAAAAAATGTAGAAGTGGCATTCAGACAACATGCCAGGTTATCTGACTCCCTTTTTAATGCCAAAGATAAGGTGGACAAGTTGGAGAAATCTGGAATTTATAGGCTTGAGTGTCCGAAGTGTAATAGTGTTTATATGGGGCAATGTGGTCGAAATTTCCAAAAACGGTATGCTGAACATGAAAGGTCCTTCAGACTGCAAACTCAATTATTTAGAGTCCTTGGAAATTCACAAGCATAAACATTGCGGGTGCAACCTGTTAAATGATCAAATTGATTTAGTTTACTCACCGATTTTCAAATTAGCTTATTCGTATTGTAACTAGTAAACAAAATTCAGATACTCAATCAAGCCAAGTACGTTTATTGTTATCTGCAGGGGTGCTATATAAGGGCTAATGTAATCAACTATTGTTAGTTTGATGTATAAGTTTGAAAATGTCCTTATAGGACGAAACTGCAGTAACATTAGTTTCGAATAAAAGTGGTAACAAAACATAGAAAGTTTCAATTCTCTTTTCTTCATTTCGAGAGGGCCTTTTCTCTGATTTGGATCTATACTTTTTTGTATAAAGTTCATAATTTACGTGATCGAATACTCAGAATTTACCAAATCGAATCAGCTCTATATCATTTGGAATTTATAACATAATTGTTTTGTTTGGTTTCCGGGTTGTTTTGCCGTGGTCTTTTTTGGTTACAATCTCCAAACGTCTCAACTGCAACTGCGGTAGTCATCTTCAGTAGCGTGGTCGAGGTACTCTTCTTTACGTATCAACTGACGTATCTGACTCTTCTGACGTATCCGTTGATACGTCAAGAAGTTTACTTCGACCACGCCACTGAAGATGACTGCCACAGTTGCAGTTGAAACGTTTGGAGATTGTAACCAAAGAAGACCACGGCAAAACTCGGAAACCAACTAAAACATTGAAGCTAACCGTGAAAGCCTACATTCCTATATTATAACTAAATTTTCATTTCCTGAACCCATTTTTTGTTGATATCGAAGTTATTCATGTATCGTGAAATAACAGTTAACAAAAAACGTGTGTCTATTTTTCACAAGTAATCAGAAAAAACGATAAAGAATATTCTTGACTCAATGAGTAGAATTTGGAACCTCTGGCACAAAATGAAATTAAGGAAAACACTTCTTCACTATCAAAACAAAAATGTGATCCTTCGGCGCGGGTTTCGCAATCAACTTAGAAAAATCAGAAGATCCAAAGACAAGCGCAGAAAAATCAGAAGATCCAAAGACAAGCGCTTTTCACAATTACAAAAAATGCAATACTCAAGAAGAATATTGCATTTGTTGTGATAAGGTTAGGTCTATTTGACCCTCCACCGCAACCAAATAAACCCAGCTTGTCAACGAAGTCGATTATTTTACATGGCGAGTGATCTTTCAGGTCAGATGATGAGAATTCGGCTTTGCTCGGTTCGTATAGAGAGGCAGCCACAAAGTATGTGCTCTGCAGTTTCATCATTTTCCAAATAGAGGCTACACACACTGTCTTCCGACTGTTCGAGTCGCTGTATATGATGATTCAGACGAATGTGACCTGTGAGAAGGCTTGTTAGACATCGTAGTTCATCCCCACTGCAATCCAAAAATTGTTTTGTTTCAAGCGATGCCATTGACAGGTTCTGGTCCGATGAAGCTGCTTCCAGCTCCCTCCTTTGCAAGAGAGTTAGGGCCTCACTGCCCTTTCTGTCCAATATTGCCAGGAATCCAGACCAGAGATAATTTGTTGGGTCTTCCTATTGAAAAGTGTCGTTTTTGGCAATTTGCCATCAATTTAGACGTTTCTCGGTAGGTGCCAAGATCCTTCAACGCCGCTTGACTGTCCGAGAATATTTTATTGACTTGTGTATCAGATTGGGTTCCACCAATCTCTCCTCAAATCATTGAATAGCATAGATTTTCGCTTGAAATACACTGCAAAAATTAATCTTGTGAAATCACATAATATTTCGTTGGCCTTTTTTTAACCAACGTAAAATCATGTGATATCACAGGGATTTCTGTGAACGTCATATTACCAAATGAATTCAGTGAAAACTCTTTGTGAACATACATATTGAGTCATGTGATTTTACCATATGAGTAGGTACTGTAATTTTCACAATCTCCATTGTAATTTTCGACCAAATGCAGGGAATCACATGACTTATTATGAATGTATTAGGGTATTTAAAATGTAGAAATCTATATTCACTTGTAGTTGTCATTTGTAGTATCACATAAAATAAACCCCTAATTCACGCGAGTTATTATGTATGAATCACATTGTAAGTTGTGTGAAATTCTATTCTACTGTGTGATTGCAGTATGCTAAACTACATTGTACTTCGGAATAAAATATTATTTTCATTGTAATTATTTTTCTACGTTTAGAAAACCCCAAGTATTAATAGAAAGAAAATTGGTTAAAATGGTGAATATGAATTTTACTCTGCACAGTATTGAGAACAATTGAGAAATTGTTGTCAATACTATACAGATGGAATCTTCTCTGATTTATTTAATTTCACATCGTATTGTATTTTTACTAAACTCTTTGCTTCACATATGATATTCTGCAAATTCCAGTATCACGGTTTTCATTGAGTAAAATTGAAGTTATCCTATAAATATTGCGAAAATTACAGTGTATATGATTTTCACAATAATTTTTAACAGTGTACAGTCGCATAAGTCCCTAGGCAGGTTGATATTTCTACCCTCGGTCTGCGACTGAAAACACATGCACCAGAACCTGAAAGTTATTTGTTGTGGTTAGAAAAATTGTTTGTTTTTGGATTGCATTTCTGGTTATTGGGAAAAGGCTTGTTTTTGTATCTATTTTACGCCAGAGGTTCCAGTTTTATCTTTCATCATCAGGAGATAACTTAAACAACTTCTCACAGCTATGTTCTTATTTTTCATATGCATCTAGAACAATAAATGCCATCAACAAGCTGAACTTGAATCTACAAGAAAGAAATAACATCTTCCAAATTGAAGATGAAATCAAACTTTGATAAAATCGTACAATTAATAAAAACTATAAATACTTTCCTAAGCTGGTGGAATTTTTGGGATCCTCTGATGGGGAAATGTAGCCAACGCAAGTATTTTAAAGTATAGTATGCGCTGGGTAGGCCATATCCTCCAAAGCCCCGATACAATCGAGAGGGCACGCCGGCATTATCAACCAACGACCACTCTCCATACCGTGAGGTAAGTGATCATTGGTGGGTTCGAGAATCATGTGCCCTGAGAAAGCGCAGTAAGCAAAGAATGACAGATTTCTGAATCTGTCCGGCTGATATTTCTACCTAAATGTGACAAGCCGTTATGATTTTAAGATTTGAGAGTAAGAGAGGGCATTATTCCACCAAGCGCTCTAATAATCAGAACAACAAATTCCAAACTTATCGTTCCTCACAACGGATTCAATGGGTATCCCCCGAAGCGAGTTGGAGTAATGCAAAATAATTGTTTGATTTCATCTAAGTTTTTCAGGTTTGGATTTCTGACGCAAAATGTCTAAATTACGTAATTTTCTCCAGTTGCCTTGGCATCTTTCTTCAAAAGAACGAATTCAAGATACGCTTTTTCCCCCGGCGAATAGCAGCTGTCGTTAATCAGTTCTTTATAGCTATCGCATGGTGATATGGTTTTAGTTTGCTTATATTTTTTTAATGCGCGGTTCCTTAAAGATATCATACGTTGGATATTATAAGTCAACCATGGTGCGGGGGTGGCTTGGTAACTCTGATTTTTCGGAAAGGAGCATGGAGATCAAATAGAGTAATGAGGTTATTGTTGGATGTTATTACCATATATGTCGTCAACATTATCCAACCTGTATACTTCATCCCAGTCAGTTAGTGTAAGATCAGTCAAAAAGTAATCTTTATCAAAATCAGAAAAATCGCGATGCGAAATCCACCTAAATTTTGTATAGTGCACGAAATTGCCTTATGATCATGTACTGAAAGCTTTCTTGTATGGCCAACGTTTTGGAAAAAAAATTCCTTATTCCATTTGTACACAAAATTCATTCTAACGAAAAGGTAGGTACTGACCAATTAGACTCTAAAGTTTATATTACACAGTACTTTTTACTGGGTGAACTTTTCGGTTTGAGCTGGACTACACATCATTAGATTGATTCTCTGTCGATTAAGATTCATTCGTTTTATATTCTGTGGAAGGTTTCAAGCCCAGAAAACGTGTAGGGAAATTGACTCCTACACAAAAACTGTTTTTCATAAACAAATTATATTTCACGAAGAACAGTTTAGCCTTGTAGCACGGGATGACACTCTCTATCATAAAAATGCGGAAACGAAAGCATAGGTACTTTCCGCTACAACCCTGATCAATAGTATATTATGCTCATCAATCCTAAAATAAACCATTTGGGAATGACACATAAGTTTCACTGTAGTTCCGATATTCTGTGGTTTCACTGTGTTCCTCCACTAATGACGCTTGACAGCGGCCGAAGTAGGCATTTGATGATATTATTATTTGAGATTCAGTACACTTGCAAAAAATATAGTCGAATCAAATTGTTAGGGTTTAATTCGCTTGACGTTTGACGTATGTATCCGCGATATAAAATCGTAATCATTTGTCATGTCAATTGTCATTTTGTTATGCTGTTCATCACTTGTCACCCAATTATTTGTTATAACAACAAAAAGAAAAGCCAAAAACCAAGAAAAACAAAACCGGAACAACAAAAACAATGGAAAAAACAAATATGTTAATAATTTATGGATTCACTCGTAGTACATTTGTGTTTGATGTAGTACTTTTTTTCAAAGGGTTGCGGCAACACTGACAATGTTAGTAAAATGAGAGCGCTTGCGTCTTGCGTTTTGCATTTCCTCAATTTTATTATTTGACGTTTCCCAAGATTGTGCAAATGATCTTATAAATTGTGAAAATCAAAACATCCATAATCCAGATTGTTACATACTTCAAGAACTGCAGATATAGGTAAATTCAGTTGTTGTACTGAAATTAAAATTATAACAAGTTCTACCATGATCTCATATTGAAAATTGGGTTATGAGAGATTTAACTTCCCATTGTGAAAAAAAAATGTGTTTTTTCAGATTGAAATATATTGTATAAAATGGCTGATCAGCAACAATTCTTCTTGAAATGGAACGATTTTCAAAGCAATATGGTTACGTCTTTTCGACACCTGAGGGATGAGAAAAGCTTCACAGATGTAACTTTAGCTTGTGAGGGCCAAACATGTAAAGCTCACAAAATGGTCCTATCAGCTTGTAGTCCTTACTTCAAAAGTTTATTAGAGGTAATCTGTTTTATTATTTGAACATATATTCTAAGCATGTTTTATGTGTAAAATGAAACATATATGCAACATGTAAAGTATAGAACAAACCCTTCTGGAATATATTTACTTTCATGTCAGTCAGCTTGATTTTTGGTTGAAAACATTATTATAGAAGTTCTGTAGTAATGAGTTTTCTTCTGTATCTTTTTTAAACTGTTTCAACTCTATTCGCTTCAATTATGAAATATGAAGAGTTTGAACAGTATCAATGACTATAGAGAAGATATACAATAAGAAAATCAAAAGTTCAAAACGAATTCTGTCACAAAAACAACTGGCAATATATTGATTACATGCTCGTATAGAGACTGTCTAGTGGTTTAAATTCAAATCAACTGACGTAAGTATGTCACAGAATCAGAATTATTCATTTCAGCCAAAGAATCTGTGGTAAAAAACAGCTTCACAATTCCTCTGCATAATCACAAATTACAAAATTATACAAAAAACCTATATAACAGATCAGTACTGTTTCATATTAAAAAACACAACACATTTAAATGATAAAACAAATTTATTTGCAAGAGTTTTTCATCACATTCATCTGGGAAGTAAGTACCTCTAGTCCCATTTCCAAAAATTTCTGATAGCTTATTATATACTTTTGTTCCTAAGGCTCCTTTGACATCATATGAAGATTGTCAAGTCTAGCTTGTATCAAGTTATATCTAATTTGAAATGGATTATCAACCAGTTTTGTCACAATCAAAGTTACCGTTTATAATTTAGATGCTAATTTCGGAAATCTAAAAAGAAATTAATTCCAAATATAAGAAATGAAAAAAAATCACAGCTTGTCGCTCCTAATGGCTTAAAACAATATTGTTTATATTGTCATTCCTAAGGTGAATTCAGATAAGAAACGCTTTAATTAAGCAAAATGAAATTCAAAATAACTCTTTAATTGAATCAATAAAAAATGATTGAACTTGCAATTTACTGTCAGAAAGGTATTGTTTCATTATCAATGTTGTTTTATATATTCCCGATCATAATGAAATGAATAGAGAACTGAAAAACAATTTATCTGAAACAGTTTTTGAAATGTCGCTCTAGAACTCTATCTACATATTTATATTATGAATGAATATTGTTTTCCATTCACCTTTATATTTACTTACCTACAAAAAACTATATTTCAGGAAAACCCTTCGAAACACCCCATAATAATACTGAAAGATGTAGCCTATAGTCACCTTCAAGCTATTTTGGAATTTATGTATGCAGGCGAAGTAAATGTAAGTCAAGAACAGCTACCGGCATTTTTGAAGACAGCAGACAGACTGAAAGTCAAAGGACTAGCGGAAGCACCACAGGCCATTAAGAGAGAATAGAACTGTGTGATCTATGAGATCATGGTAGTCGTAACGGGTTTTTATGAACATTTTTGTAGGTGTATTATAAAGCTACTAGGTCTGGGCCAAACATCAGATTAGTTCAGGTGTTCAGATGTAAATAATTACTATTTGAGAAATATGTTAAACAGCAAATCTCCTATATATCTCATCATATTTATTTTATTGTAATTGAAATTTTTAATAATTGATATTGATATAACTAAAGAACCACTTGAAAAGTTACTGAATATTTAAAGTCTTCGGTTACCCGTGAGTAATACATCTACATTGTTCTGTCCTTTCTTGTGTATTGAAATTTTCATTTTAGAATTTGTGCACTCAAGATTTCTGGTATCTGTATTCAACTCTTTTCTTATTCTACCAACAATACTCTGTGAGTTATTAAATTGCAAAATAAATGATTTTGGAAATGTCAGCGAAAGTGAAAAATGATCTGCACTTTTGAAGAGAGATTTCATATTTTTTTACTCATTTTAATTGTGGTAGGGCAACTACCTCGAGGTTTGTTGCAGAAGTGTTGAATGCAAAACTGAATTGTTAACTTTTCTTTTTTTTTTGATAAACTATAACCACATGGGTGCATTTTTCAAATATTTAATCCGAAATTTATTTGTAATTGACTCTAATGAGAGCTTTAAGGACTGTAAAGAATATATTTCTATATAAGAGTCACTCTTGACGCATATGATTTTTTGTAAAGGTTTTTATATCTTATTGTTTTATAGTTTTTGTAAAGTGTAGTAAATAGGGGTTTATTTTTCAGTGTTAACGTTTTATATTGCTATAATCAATCTCAAATGTATTGAGATATGCTTTTCTGACCCAAGGCTTTTTTATAACATCCAAGTATTGACTCACTATTGATAAACGTTCACGTTCACAAACATATTTTAGATTATTCAGGGTCCTTCATGGCAACATATATTTGATCTCGTGATAAGAGTTTGTTTTACTTTGAATACTTGCCCAGAAAAAGTTCAGTAATGCTACCTAAAAGGTTTAATGAAAAATATGAACACTTTATGGCAAACATTCAATACACTTGGTAAAGGGATGGTACTTTCGACTAGTCAGAAAAGCATATCCAAATATCTGTAAATACAATTGGAAATATTCAATTTTTGGTTGATACTATATTGTTACCACTTTTCCACAAATTAGTATATAATATCTTGGAATAATTTTCATTTAATTTCATCATGGAATAATTATCCGTCAACAAAGTGAGGATGACAGAGTGGATGCTCTAGATTTTATATGAAATGTGTATATTTAACACTTTTGAAGAGTATACATTCAAGTGAGGAAATATGGTTTTCATTGAACATTTTTGATAGAATTACTTCTGTCTTCTATGAAATTCATTAATTTGTTAAATTAGAGAGTTGCGAAAATTAAATGATTTCACTGTTTTCTAGGCATCACCAAATGCTGTTTCATTTTCAGCAAATAGTAATAAAAGAAAACAGTGATAAATGTAGAAACGGTAGGATACAAAGCCTTCATTAAATACACATCATTTTTGATATCAGTTACGAATACAACTCAACAACTTTCAGTCAGTACACAAACACACAAATCGAATTCTATATTACAGGGTGTTATACACATTATAGTACACACCTCCTCAACTTGTTGATTTAATAAATGCTTGAAGAAGATTATAACTTGAAATTAACGAAACTTCGCTTTCACATTAAACGAACCTCAGCGGATTTCAACGGGATGTATGATTTCACGCCTATATCAAGGCTAAGTGACTGCGAATAAAACTACAGCTTCGCAAGCGGCCAGATAAATCGAGAAGAAAAAATTTTACTTGCTCTCTCACTTTGTTATTCAGTCCTTATATGTGATGGAATCGGTTGATACTTGATGAAAATCTATAAAGTATTCAAGAAACACTTTATTGTGAGATTTTCACTAAGCATATCTTCAGTTTAAACGTGTTTAGTGAAATTGAAAATTCTTCTATTCTACCCTGCCTTTTAGATCTGCATTGAACTAAATAAAAATTTGAACTCAAAGTGCTATCAATTCGGAAACTTAAAAAAGTGCTCTTAGTGTGAACCATCTCCTTAAATACTACCATGCCGAAATCCACTCCAGAATTTCCTATGGAATTATTGTCTGGGGAAATACTTCATCGGGACATAGTGTTTTTGTGTCTCAGAAGCGCATCCCAAGATGTCTTGTGATGTCACTCATGTCGATTTTTTTTAAAGGATACAAAATATTATCAGTTACTGGCATATTCTAACTTGAGCTAATGACATACACATATGGCAATCGAAATACCTTACTCACTATACAAGGAAAAAAGATAACTTACGTGCCCTTCAAAAACCTGGAATTATTCAAAACACCATCAAATACTTTTGGTTTATACCTGTACACAAGGCCGTAGCCAGAAAACAATTCCGGGAGGGGGTTATGGATTGACATTAACGCCAAACCGTTTAGTCGTTCCTGGCTTGTGGAGTTTTGAGGCGTTTCAAAGAAGAGAAAGTCCTTTCAGGGGTACATGTGGAAACAGGTAGTGTCGCCAAGATCTTTGAAAGTTTGTACGCACATTGCCGTAAGGTTTTTCCATTGTGTTTTTGGAAGTTTTTTCAATATTCCCTTTCAAACACTTGGTTCGCTTTGCCAAGGACTTGATAGAATTTCTAACGGATTTTATAATTCCAATAGTACCTCTATCTGTAGAGTGGGGAGGGTGAGTGTAGGCCCACAGCACTTAGGCCACATGCGAACCATTGTACATCCTCCCAAGGAGTTGTCCTCCTAGGTCATCGTCGATCCTGTCCTTTCCAGGAAAGTGAGCAGGTCACTAGGAGACATCTCCTTTATATGGACAGGTGTAAGCCAAGACTCGCCGAACACATAGCGTAGATTTTTCCTGGTCATGCTAGATATTTCTTCGGCGTCACTTTCCTTGGGTCGCCCAGGGTGATCCTGGCAAGATTGCATCCTTTGATTTCATCCTATCTCTTTAGGGATTGAGCATGGGTATCATTTGGCTAGTTCCGCAATCGTCGAAGTGATCAGGCTGTAGGTGCCACTGGGTCCTAAAATTCTCATTCCAGCCGCTTCCTTGGCTAAAGAGTCGGCAATGCGATTACCTTCACGCCAAGGCCTGAGGCGTGAAGGTAATCGGTCTGTTTTATTAGCGTGTCTGCTATCAGTGCAGATTGTTATTTTTTTGCCAGACATTCTTTTCATGGTTATTTCTTTTGTGACAATTGAAATACGAGCCAGTTCCGTTTGAACCACGCTGGTTTTTTTTCCCATTCCCCACTTGATCCTCCATATCCTGAGCTTTCTTTGACCATCTGTATATATGCGTATTGCATTTGTAGCATCTGACTATGTGTTCTGTTTTATTTATATTTTGTAGGGTTTATTAAACACAAACCTGGGTACAATTGCATCACTGGTTGCCTGCAACAGAGGATGCGCAGTAAGCGCTTCTCGCCATAGGCTCAGCCTCAACTGACCCATTCCTACTTCAAGGTTTACACCAACCGTGTGCAATCGTAACATGGCCATTAAAGCAACCTCCTTAACGTACAGGTCCAGAGGAGACAGACCAGTAATTAATTCCATTGCCGCGGTTGGTGTTACTCTCATGGCTCCTGCGTTGTTCAAACAAGCCAATCGTTTTATTTGATATAATTTTTGGGTGGCCGTTGCTAGAAGAACTTTCGGGGGGGATCAATCCCCCTTGATCCCCCCCTGGCTACGGCCTTGCCTGTACAACTTATTCCTCTACAATCCAAGAAGTCTGCCAACTTATACATTTAAAAGACAACTTAAAAAAGTTTTGATACATCTGTCTCCTTAATCAATTCAAGAATTCCTAGAGTGGATTTAGTTTGGATTTCATACCATTTGACTTGCAGATTGTCATAATCAGTTTGATTGTATGATATGTTTGATATGTTTAAATACTCTCCATGATAGTGTTGTGTTTTATTTGTAGGATTTTTTCTAAATTTACTTGTCCTATAACTGTAACTTCCACATGATTAAATAAATGATCGATTGAACTATTCAGTTCTCTAAAGATTTAATTTGGATATTGATATTTGTTTTCAAATTGCATGTAAAGCATGCAACAAAAACTATGCCAGAAAAGGTCAGCAGCAGTATCATTAAAAAGGAATTTGAAATCTTTGCATTTAATATCTCAGTGATGTTTGGAGTTACATTTTCACTAATAGTTGAAAGTTTCAATAAGCGCAGTGTTGTCAATGATCTTATTGACCAAATAAGATTGACCAAATAACCGATTCTAAAGGATAACTGTTTGCTGATGATTTCAAGTTATATCGTTCAATTCAATCTCAGTAAGTCTCAGTTAATCTGTTTCAATCGCTCTCAGTCGCCTGTTACCTAAAAATACTGCATTAACTCCTTCCCAAACAAAAATGTAAATGAAGTCAAAGATCTTGGTGTTCGATACCATATTATCTTTTTGTTTGCATATTACTAAAATCACACTGAAATCTTTCAAACTAAGAAATCTTTCAAACTTTTAGGTTATGTATCCAGGTCAAGTAAGGACTTTTCAGCTAATATTTTGAAAATTCTATTTTTTTCCTAAGTGAGATCGAATTTCGAATACGCCTTTATTGTATGGAGTCTTTCGTATTCTGTGCACAAGTTGTCACTAGAAAATATGTATAATACATTTTTGAAAACTGTCGCTTATAAATTAGGAAAGCAAGTAGGTCTACACCATACCTAATAGTGACGTTTATCAACCTTTTTTGAAAATAGGCGTATTCAAATTGATTTACTTTTTTATATAAAATATTATCAGGGCACTTTTATTGTCCCAAATCACCCAGTTTGATTAATTTGAGGGTAAAGCAACGAAAAACAGGGATACATTTTCAGGGTGTAAAAATGATTTGATTTTGAATTAGTTTTTCTTTGATATAATCTGTTCAAGTTCTAGTGACCTGTGAAATCTTACCCCTTTTTGAGGATGATATCTCTATGTCGATTTCATCAGAATGAACTCGATACAAAAATGATCTGCTTCTATATTCACTATCTGAAGTATATGACTGAAGTTTATAACAATCAAATCGCAATGAAAATATTCATGAGAATTTTAATCAGCAAATTCAACTTATAATATGCTCTTGTTGGATTATGTTTGATCATGCATTTTACAAAAATATATACTTCAGTACCTACTCAAATCAATTTAGTTATTGTCTTTAGATAGCTGATTCAAAAAGTCGATGAATTCCATCCTGAAGTTTTCGCCAATACTAAAATTTGTGTCTATTCTTAAATGAGGAATGTGCTTGGAATCAGGCGATATCTGTGGCCAAGTTATATTGTACAAGAACGGATCGACTGTTGGTGTTGGATTTCTGAAACATTAAAAAAAAAGGCTTTGTAGCAGACTACTACTCAAAGTAAAATAATAAATAAAATGTTCAAATATTGAACAATAACAGATGAACATCCCACCTAAAAGTACTAATAACAATAACGATAGGTAATGATTTTTCAACAATTTCTGTTACATTTTCGTGAGCTTGTCGGGATTTTGGAAAGTATGTGCACGACTTCAGTGTTAAGATTGATCAGGAAAAATCTTTGAACGGTTTTGAACCATCAGTAATCAGTACCCAGGGCCTCGGATTCCTATACCAGGAGTTATGAATCTGTAAAGTAGAAAATTTCATCTCTTGAAGACGCCAACTTTTTTGGTGAAACGCGCTTCGAGAAGATTGTTTCAGTTCTGGTTTTTGGGAGCAGCACAGGTTTTGAAAACGAAGATCAATATACTTGTCTCGTCATTCCATTTGGATTCCAGGACATTGATTTTCTCCAAAAAGATACATGTATCCGAACCGGATATAATAATTTCAGGACAATTTCACTTTGTGCTTCGATAAGTTTGTTGGAGATTAAAATGGAAGCCAATGTACGCTTGGAACACTGTTCCAAGCCGAAAAAACACACCTCAGCAACTTTTGATGCTTAATAAAGCTCATTTTTTTTCGAAGATCACGATCAAAATAAGCTGAAGATGCGAGCTTTCTCGATGAACAGTTCATTGAAGAATTGTGATCCTTTGCATTTTGATTTCTTGAATGAATATTAATTCAAATTTTCGTCACTTTACTGATTTTATGAAATGACAAAAAATACAGGGGCGTGACAAAATATGCTGTTCAAATAATAAAACCAAAGTACTATAAATTTCACCTCAAGGAATCAGTTTTTGTGATTCAAGATGAACATTTCGTATTATATACGGCGCTTTCATTAATTATATTTTCTAATGAAATCATTTTGAAACATTTGACTGATGAAAATTGATTAGCTGCCTATAATCTGAAAATATTACCTAATTATGTTGATTCCGGTGAGATTTCTATTTTTATCATTATTCCAACAGAAGTTTCATTTGAACTCTATTTCGTGGTAACATACGTGGTCCAATGAGAAAATTCCCAAATTTTGAGCTGGGTTGCAATAATTTTCAATTGCTAGTTTTCTGAATTTACTCAGTCCATAATATGTTCCGAAAAGTCAAACGTAGATAATCATCAAACTGAAACTTGGTTATGAAATATATAGTTTGTGAAGAAAAATCAAAACATGGACTCGAAATGTGGAATCGCGTGTGCTCCTTCAGAAATTGGAAATGTGGCAAGGAAATTGATATTTCTCAGAATTTCAAAAGCACAATGAGAGTTGTTTGACAATCAAATCCTTTATTGATAAGAAGAATTTGGTACCTCTAGCGTGAAATTAATCTATTGGAAACACTTTTCCCATACCAGAACAAAAATACTGTTTCTCGACGCACGTTTTCCTAAGTTAGCATTCGTTACTCATTCTGTGGCTTGATGACCAACACTAGACTTCTCTGGTCTATGAATCCGAATAAGTTAAACATGTTTCTCGAAATTGTTGAGTCCGGTACATGACAATAAGTTTCAGATGCCTTCGAAAGTTTAGAAGGGGAAAATGTGAAATGAGATCAATAAATAACGACAAAGGTCCCAATCAAAATAGCCCTCTGTTCACACTTTCACATAATTACAGATAGAAAACAGGTTAAGATGAGGTATCAGTCAAGCCATAACATTAGTTTTCAAATCATCAAAAGGATCAATTCGTTCAGGCCAGTCTCAACTCCCTAAACTGTAGGTTAATGGACTAACAACTATCAGAAAACAACTACTCCCCTGGCTAATACCACGAAAGACACGTGTTTTATATCAAATCGGTCTTTCAGAAAGTAGTACCACAATAGTGGTGATTTTAGAACCACTAAACCACATTCGTGGTAATTTTTGGAACACAACTCCTTACAAAATATATTCGTAAAAGTCACTCTTGATCATTGTAGTGGCCAGTCCGTTTCGAAATATAGTATAATTTCTAATGAAAAACAAGAATAAAAAGAATTCGGACGATGAAAACGAGTATACCTCACCAGTGGTTTGTAATGTGACGAAGACATTGATAATTTTGTCACTTGATAACAATATGACACTAGTGCAGTAGTTGTTTGAACTCTAGGTTTAAGTACCGGTGATTGTTTGTTCAAAACACATCATCAGCAGTTTTTTTATTTTTTCCAAACACTCAATATTCAAATTATTTGAAATTTAATGAAATAACAACTGAATTTTTCTCGTTCTGGTTGACACGATGTTTCAAAATTTGATTATTTATTACTTCATACAAATGGATGTGTACCGTACAAAAAATCTTAATCGGTCACGCATCTCTTGACTGGTTTGGTTTGATTTTGTTTGAATATTGTTAAGATACGTTTGAGAGACTGTATTTTGGAAAATTTTGATCAGGAAATCATTGAAGGTATTTTCATTTGATAATATTATCGATTCAATACCCTAATTCAACTTTGCTATACATATTTGTTGGTATCTAACAACAATCCCTGTATATTACCACAATTGTTGTCATAGCAGAACAATAATTATGGAAATACATCAGTGGAGTTGTCGATAGAAAAGCTAACTCATGCCGGTTGAAATTGAAATTGGTGATCGTTTCTTGGAGACGAAACGTCGGACTGGAAACACCTTGCACAGTTTAAAAAGTGGTAACGAGAAAGGTTAATTTGTATTTCAATATCTATATATCTAATATATTAATATCCAAAATTTAACATATGTCTTTTTCTGCTTTCTCTCATCATCCGAAAATCTATAGAAAAATCCAGCATTTTGTTGGTGGGTATCACTTGTCCATCAAGTTTCGGCCTAGAAAAAGGTGTATCAAACTACTACTACAATTCATCATATCGAATTGAAATTTGTTTGTATCATCATGAGGTTAAATGATTATATCATTTTCTTGAAAACCATAACATCACTACGTCGATATTGGGTATGTATAAAAAAACCTTCAGATTTCAAACAATCGTTAACAAGTTCTCATAACATGGACTGTAATCACTTTCACCTTGACATGTCTTTTAATAAAGTGTGTGAACTGTCACCAGAACAACCGTGAATTAAAAACTTGTTTTCAAATTGAATCACAAGTGATTCAAGAAACTTATTTTGTTGAAGAAACAATTATATTGTTTTCAATCAATTTTATCAGAATGTCAGAATAATGTACATTTTTACAAAACCTAGTCAGTCAGGACAGGCTTCCATATAACAATTCACAACAATTTTTTGAAACTTCATGCCAGGACCTTTTTGAAGGAGGCCAATTCAATTAATCATTTGTATATTTTGTCATTCGAGGTTGATATTCAGCAAAAAAAATATAGGAAACGAAAGTTCAACAACTTTAATATAAGTGTTGAATAGTGCAATTTTCCAATATTTCCCAACATTTTTTTACCCAATTCACACAAAATCATATGATACCTATACAACAAAGACAAACGAAATGATCATATTTCAAAATTTGAAAATATTCGAATATACGGGTGTTTGGTAGCTGGGTGCAAACCTTTGAGGGGGTGATACACTAGCCCATGTAGAACATATTCATACAAACATTTTTATTTTCTAGCGCGTTTTTTATTTTTAAGAGAACTTTTACGATTTTTAGTACAAAAACCCAAAATTGGTCAATTAAATGCTAATAACTTCGAATCTTAACAGAAATGTCCGTTTTTTTAAATTTATTTTAGTAGTCTTATGTGTCCCCAATCGTACTAAAGTAGTTTGAAGCNATTTTTTTAATTGGCATCAAAGGTCATATTTTTTATTTTCTTTCTTTTTTTGTTAAGTTTAAATGCTCTGTACATAACTTTTTTGGACACAATGGTGCTTCAAACTACTTTAGTACGATTGGGGACACATAAGACTACTAAAATAAATAAAAAAAACCGGTCATTTCTGTTAAGATTCGAAATTATTAGCATTTAATTGACCAATTTTGGGTTTTTGTACTAAAAATCGTAAAAGTTTCCTTAAAAATCAAAAACGCTCTGGAAAATAAAAATGTTTGTATGAATATGTTCTACATGGGCTAGTGTATCACCCCCTTAAAGGTTTGCACCCAGCTACCAAACACCCTGTATTTTGAATCATTTAAAGAATAAGTAAACTGAAAAACAGTTGAGAAATCATAAAATTGAATTGCGGAAAAAACCTATTCTACACGAATGTGTTATATGTTATCTGCACAAGTAGAACAATATACTTTCTCTACGATCAAGTTAAAAATATATTTCTTTAACTTTTTACAATCATTCTTTCTTCACCACTCAATACCTAATTATAACGTATTTAGAGTTTTAAAACATGCTAGATCTTGAAAAAGATGCATAGAAGTCCTGGAGTATTAACCCAACTTTCTATGCATGCTAATAATAGAAGGTGCAAGAATAGAAATATATCGGGGATATTTTGTTCAGATCGTTAATTTATGGACCATGATGGAAAACAACCTTTTACCTAATATCAAATCATTTCCAAATATTGAAAAATAAAGTGACAACTTGACATTGTGAAGCTGCGCCATTGTGAGTTTTACTCAGTTTATTCGATCTCAAGAGTGGGAAAGATGTCAAAGTGATCATACCAGGAATATTCTATGCATCTTGATTTTCAAAGTATGTATTATTTGTTGTAACCAGGGAAGTAGTTAGAAAATAATTAGTGAAAGTGGCAGAGTTGGCACGTTTTCTACAAATCGATTGCTATGAATGAGATGTTCATGTACTGTTAAGAAGAAATGCGTCATTTTCTCTGCTGATTAATATTTTTTTATAAAAAACAGCACATGAATATTGGAAACTATTCATTATCAAACATTTCTATAACGGTGACATATCATCCTTATACATCCTTATCACCAATGAAACGGCTGAAGGCGACTGACCGAAGAATTGGATTCTGCAAGTATTTGATGGATTCTGTAGTGACTGTCACGAAATAGTACCGATGACAGTGGTTGTATTGAAATTGGAGGTGAATGGTCACATGGTGTTATGAAGTGTCAACAGTATTCATGTTTTCCTATTATAACAATGATTCATTCTGAAATTGGAGTAAATATTATTATTTTAAGATAATTTACCCATATCTTGCGAAGTTGGACCATAATCTCCCAATTCTTTTAGACATTTCAATACCCTCTGGAGGCAATACCTGATTTTCGTATTTGAAAATGAAGGATAAATCCTCAATGTGTCCCACTCCTGCAAATTAAGTATTTATAAGTGATGCAATATATTACAAACGAGTATTTTGTGAGTATCACTAGAAATATAGGGTAACTCTCCGAAAAAAGCGTCGATAAGTAGGTATTGCAAAAAGTGTAAATTTTGATAACCTGGATGAATATAAAAACATAAACATAGCTGTGTGTTCAATGAGTGAATTCTTTCCAAACCAGAAGTTCCAGATTTTATCCACCAAATTGACGAGATCACTTCATTCCTGTAGGTATACAAGAATAATTAGGACGATGCAAGAGGTATTCTTCAATATTGAAGACCAGCTCATCAGAGAACTTTCACTTTTGCATTCCTCAGGTTAGGTCAAGAACTGAGGGGTTCATCATCGTCTACACATGTAGTGATTCGAACATATCAGATTATCATGGTCATGTGATGCGTACAGAGGTTTCTGATACTAAGTGCGGGGTCTGCCTAGGTGCGCGGTATATACAGTTTCATCCATCGATATATGAATGATGCGCCCCTAAGAGTGCTTTATTACCACTCTTACGGTATTTATGGGACCCCAGTGTTACCTCAAGATTTTGTCGGATATTCATCAGTCCGTTGTGGAAACTGAGGAGGGCTGATTTTATTAGAACTATTGAATTTCCACCCCAGGCATAGCCTAGGACGGTAACCTGGTGGCTTGGTGTGAGTGATTTGCTTCACTTACTCAATCGCAAGGCCGGACGATCGATTTTCACTTCTTATAGTCCAACCCGTGTTAAGAATCACACGTTAAAAGGTAAGACCTCATTAGTCCTTAACATGTACAAGTTTCGACTTTTCAGAGTAGTCATTCGTAGGGGGGCGACAGCTTGGTTAATGGAATAACATATTTTTTTTATCAAAGTAAGACATTTTTCATCATGTAGTTTTGAGCTTTCGTTGAGACGATTATCCTCCGAAAAGAAAGTGAATAATGAATAAAACATCAAGATCTTTCCTTCGAACTCCACAGACTTTATTCTGATCACTTTCAAAATTTGTGGGCTTTGGCATCATCGACCCAACCTTTTCGAAAAATATTTGTGATAATAATGATAACTAAAGAAAATTATTTCGGAAACGGGATCTTTCTGATATCAGCCATTTAGTTATGAATAGCGTCACAGATCTCTGCGATACGATAAAAATTGAGACACACAGTGACCATGATATGAGACATTATAATATATTAAATATCCTTTCACCCGGTCAAGATCAAGATGTTCATTGTCATTATTCAAGAAGAAAACTGGAATAAATATCAAAAATAATTAGGTAGCTAACTTCTCAATTTCTTTGCAGCTTCACGTCGCTTGGTTAAAGATTTTATGTTCAGTTGATTCGGAAATAAACCTGGACTCCACTCGTATAATAGAAGCACAAAACGGACAATGTTCACAACTGAAACATAACAAAAAATCATAGTTACTGAAGCGTTGAAAATTCACATTTGATTTGATTTTCTATAAGGCTCTCATAACTTTGAACGATAACGAAAGGTAGAAATGGAACACCCGACGTAGAATAAATCCAAAACAATTACTGTACCACGAAATCAAAACTGTAGTTCTGGATATAAATTCATCTCCCAAAAATTTAAGGGCATGGAGGAACAGTGATGAAAAACTTATTTTGTTTTATGGACGCGTCTTTTGCCTCCGCGGCTGGCGCCCCGATTGCAATATTTGAAAATCTTTTCCAATCGCACATCTATAATATAAAACGAACCTACGTACAAAATTTCAGCCTCCGAAAATATAGCGGTACGGAGACAAAGTGATGAAAAGGTAATTTGCATATGTGAACGCTCTCCTTCTCCTCCACGGGGGGTGCCCCATTTGGAATATTAGGAAATCATTCCTTAGTGCCCCTCTAAGACCTAAGAAGCACCTACATGCCAAATTTCAGCTACCTATAGGTCTCACCAGTACGGAGAAACAGAGATGAATGGGTGTTAAGTAAGTGACTTTCGCATTTATAAGTTTAAATTATTTTCGTCGTGATGTCTTGACTCGTTAACTTCAGTAGTACATTTTTTAAATGGATTTTTGAAATGTAATTTCATTTTCCACAGTTAAATAACTCATAACACGAGTTCAAGCATGTAATCGATCTGTACTTCTCAGAAATCTGTTTCAAAATTTTATTTCAAAAACCAATTAATCCGAACAAAAACAAAATAATCTGAAATCAGCTGCTTCCTCGTTAGTCATAAAAAGTTATTGTCATAGGAATTATCCTGTTAAAGTCTGTACATACATTTACAATATTTTTGATAATGTAGAAGGTGAAAATCCTCAAAATTTTCCATGAATACTCTGATTTAATCCACAAAAATCACTTTCTTCCAATAAGTATAGTGATCTCAAAGTATTATCAACTGTCGTTGATTCTAAAACTAGATCCAGTTAGTAGTTTCATAGTATAGTTGAAAGTTCTTTTTCAATATATTCTGGAAGAACAATTTTTTATGAGAGAATAATACAAAAAACCGTTGCTTTGTCAAGCATAGATGCGGAGTAAATAACACTAACTGATAGATCGAAAGAGGTAATTTCCCTGAAAAATTTGATTTCTGAGATGATAGGAAATGAATTGGATTCAGTTACTTTTTCTAATGATAATTTGGAGACGAAAGCTTGAAACGAATCCAGTATTCCACGAACATATATAGAGTCTTCTTATAGGGACTTCCGAACCGTCATCTTGTTGAAGCTACATCTGTCAAATTAGTTGTTATTCATTCAGTCTGTTTTGCCAAATCACCAAGTGCAAATAATAAAATTGTTTTATCAGAGTATGTGTTTTCGAACAACGTAACGAGCTTCGCTCATTTCATGGTCGTCATAATCGTCCTACCGAGAGGAGTATTCGCAATGTGGTGGATAAATTTGAGTCCATTGGTTCACTGAACGATCGAACAACACTCATACTTCGACGAAACGCAAGATCTGCCAAAAACATTGCTGCTGTCTGTGAGAGTGTGCAGGAGTATCCGAGGCAGTCGATTATGCGTCGCTCTCAATAACTCAGCCTTTCGCAGGCCACAACTTGGAAGTATTACGCCGTGACTTGGGCCTGCACCCGTACAAAATTCAACTGACACAGTAACTGAAGGTAAATGACCATGGACAACGACGTGTATTAGCTAAATATGCTCTGGAGCAGTTGGCAACTGACCCCAATTTTCATCGAAAAATCATCTTCTGCGATGAGGCCCATTTCTGGATGAATTGGTACGTGAACAAAAAAAATTGTCGAATTTGGTACGATGCTTTTAACCTGAATTGGATGATTTGAACACTAACGACATGAGGTTTGATTAGGACGGCGCTACGTGGTATACAGTTCGTGTCACATTGGATATAGTGCAGGAGTATATATCACGTGGTGATATGAACTGGCCACCGAGATCGTGCGATTAGACACCGTTGGACTTTTTCTTGTGGGGTTTCCTTGAGTCTAAGTTGCATGCGAATAAGCCACAAACCACAGCGGTCCTCAAAGCCAACATAATCCATGCCATAAGTCAAATTCAGCCTGATTTATGCGCCATAATTATGTAAAATTGGACGTTTCGGATGCGCTTCACTCAGAGAAGCCGTGGCAGATATTTGAACGTTGTTATATTCCACACATGATGGCATCAATAGGTCTTTCAAACGAATGAAAAATTTTGATGATATTTCACACAATTTGTTTCATACAATTTTGAAGATAGGAAGCATTTAATGAAACACTGATAACGTTGTTGAATCAGAATATCTGGTGTTTTTACTAAGATTTTGTGTAGTACTGAGCATTCTAAGTTTATTAAGTTTCTAGGTTCAATTATGTTTTTCAGTGTTCAAATTATTTTTGCCCTAGTGGGGTGTTGGAATGAGTTCAAAATTTGAATTGAAGTTCAAAATATTTTTAACACCGTTCCGTTATTGCCATTTTCATTCAAGTACCTAAGTTGATGCGCCCTGTTGCAGAGGAATGCCGAGTGATTGAATAAAAACATCCTGTCGCACTGTTGTTTCGTCGAATCGACCCCGAATATTCTTGGATTTCGAAATTTAGGTATTTGCCTATCTTGAATTTATAAGAGATTTCGAAATGAATAGTAAAATTAACCAAAATTTTAGCCAAATCAACTCAACGGTTGGAATTTTTTCCAGGAAATAATTTTTTTGACTGTTTTATTTTAGAATTGATCAATGTTGAATAGAATCAACCACGTTAGATTAGTGAAAACCAGAGCCAAATTGGACGAGTTTTTGAGATTAGTAACTACAAACATATGCTTAAAAATTATTATTTGAATTGTGATGACTCACATCCAGCAACAGAAGCTGCCTCGTTCGTAGTGGTTCCTGTAATGAGAGGAACTCTCGCAAATTCACCATTCCTGAGGAGTTCGATGGTCGGCTTCGTAAGAAAAGCATCTTCGTGGTCTCTCTCCACAACTGGGGTGAATAGTAAACCATTCTCTAAGAGGTACGGGATACCCTAAATCAAATTGAAGAATATTTATCCGAACATTTCAGGGGGTGGGTATGAAATGAGAGGGTATATTCGACTCACCACTGTAACCCGGTATACACCTGTCCAAACTTGATTAAACAGATCCAGCTTCTCAAAGAAGCCACGAACTTTATTGAGCGAGTTATCTTTCAGGCCATATAGCAAAAGTGGGACTTTGAGACAAATGCTGGAAACCTGATCCTGTTAGCGTTGGAAACCTGATCCGATTCACAGTGGGGTAGACAGAGAGTGAGTGAGTTCTCTGCTACTATGGCCTGAATTTCTCAGCGAAAAATAAGCCTTTTCAAAGTCCCAGACCATGGTTCATATTTCTCAATCTAGTAAAAACATTTTTGATTGTTTTCTGAGTTGGAGGTCTGAGAAGCTCCCACTCTTGATACGATGTTACAGAAAAGACAGTTGATCAGCCTTCATTTTCTTTGCAAGTTCAGCCCAAGAACTCTAGAACTTAGGATCTTTTTCTCTTATTACAGGAGGACAGTTGGCGATGTTTAGCCGACGTCCATCTCTTTTGTCGACTCAGGTTATTTCCAAGACCTACTTAGGGAAAAATATTGCTTTTCTCTTGATGTAGGTCTGCGTCTGCGTCTGCTGGCCAAGAGTTTGGGGAAGCCGTCCGTCGCGTCCGGCTGCATCTTCTAGCATCGTAGGTTTGTTCAGGAGAAGCTCCTGATTTCGATCTAATGTTACAGAAAAAACCTTTGAGGTTATTGTTCGATCTCCATCTCCTCTGTAAATTCAGCTCGAAAGATGCGAAGCTTTTTCTCCTGATCCATTGGTACAAGGAGAACAGTTGGGATTATTTATTCGATATCAAATAGATATCTGTAGACTCAGATTCGGGTTTTCAGTCACTTCATGGTCCAAGAGAGGTGCCACAAGTACCAAGGGAAAAAGGTAATCTTGCCAGAACGTCGTATTACTGTCACAAGGATTTTTACGACGAAAGGGCGCCCATTATTTCAAAGGTTAGGTCAATAACTTTGGGTGGGCTTTGATTCATTCATTCTTTCGGCACGAATATACACATCTTAGGTTGATACGTCATTTTGGAGGGTTCTCATCTCCACGGCAGATTCTTACCAACCGGAAAAGGAATTTTAACGCCTTATGCTGCAGGGCGAATCAAATCATTGTATTTGACGAAATACTTCATCACCACCGAGAGGAGCAACGTAGTTCGGGAAAATACCCATTTGATCCCTATCAAAATACTAATGTTGATTTCGCTTGTCATGAGCATTGTTTTATGTTTATTTCTATCGGTTAACAGGTCCAGTATGAAATATCTTTAATACTCTTTGAGAACTGCATAACCATTACTCTTTTCATTTGAGGGAAATAATATGATATATAGTGAAGATCACCATGAATAACTGAAGAAATTCCAGCATTAAAACGATAATTGCCAGAATTATTCTTTGGAAACTTAACTTTTCAAAATATGGCTGGTACAAAAGGTAGTGAGGTTAGTGTATCATAGATCACAAAACAAAACAAAAACAGTTATGAAATCTCAAAAAAAGAAATTCCCGAAACATTCACGCCATTTACCCATGCAATCAAATCAACATCTCTAAAAGGATAAATAAAATTTATAACGATTTTTCGATATATAATTTGGAATAAGTATGAGACTTGGAAAATTGGCATTTACTAGTGAGGTTATTTTTAAGAAATGAAACGAAAGACTAGATTTCACATAAGCTTCGCTGCCCGTGCTTTCATTATTATCAACTAGTTTTATCGAAGGCTACACTATAAAAATCAACATGGAAAATATGTAAAAACATGGTAGTGAATAGATAGGATACATACCTACTTTGCCATTTGAGATTTTTTCACGGTTTTGGATTTCAAAGTTCGGCATGAGAATGTCACTTCTGCGAAAGCTCGGACAGCTAAGAAGAATATCACATTACTATGTACATACCGCTATTAATACCTTCGTCTGGGCATGTTTCAACTGGTCTATATCCATTTGTCGCAATCTCTCGACTAATTCGGTTGAATTATCAGTTTCTATTCCAAGACTTAGACCAACATTGAAAGCCATTTTTCTGGGAAATTTCTGAGAACCCAGCTCAGCGGTAACCTAGAAATTCATACACTGTTAATTACTTATTCATTTTTGCAGTATCATTATACGAGGAAACATTCCGAAAATATTCATATTGAATTGGTGAATAATTAATATTACTGTGTTTTTTCCCAAAACCAAACCTGTATTTTAACGCCTCCACACGTGTTTCGATCACCAAGTGATCATGTTCAAGAGGAACATTTAATATTCCTCTTCAAGAGGAAGATTCAATATTTCTCATCAAGAGGAAGAACGGTTTGGTGTTGGAAAAAAACTCCAGTAATATTCTTTACTACACCAAACGTTCCAAACAGTGCATTACAAGTTGGTAAATATTAACTATCGGTAACTATCATTCACTAAAACTGGTGTGGAAGATATAGGTAAGAACAGAACGTCTCATTTAATGCGATATATACTCGATATGGGTCATATATGCTTTCATTATGGTATCCTGGTGCGCAGTTCTGATGCATAGTAAGTCACAATAGGGAATCCTGTAAATACCGGCATATGTCCGAGGCTCTCTCTTTTTTTTGACTGATCTGATAGTTTTGAGTAATTGATTATTTGGCTTGTGAATTATGTTGATGTTATTACGTCTGAATAGTTTTCGAATATGATTCGCTACCACTGGCGATTGGGATGTGGTCGAAATTGAAGTATTTCTTCTTGTGGAATACTTTTGAGTACGGTTGATTTCTTGTGGTGTATACCCATTGGCCTGTGAAGTTGGGTCTAGGTGATGAGGTTCTTTAAGCTCTTGAAGATGTGGCTGATGGCACAATCAACAAGGGATTTCATTTTTTGTCCTGAATATACATTATGAGTAGGTTTACGATAAACTGTTAAACGTTTTCCTTTTCAGATTTTCTGTTGACCAATACCTCTAAAAATAACACCTGTCAAAGTGAACTAGATGAGAGGATGAACGCTTGTTCGCTTTGACTCTATATAACAAAAGTGTCATAAACACAGCAAAAACAACAGTTACTTTTCAATTAAGTGGTGCTGAGCTCTTTCTTCTTGGAAATTCCCATGTAGAAATTTGCAACCACAGCGCTGGAAGGACTTCACTTAGCGACTCCATCCATTGGTTGATAGAAACAGTTATTCCAGTGGAAATATGTATTGGTGAGAACATGGTCGAAGAGAGCTGTGATGTCTTCACAAAAAAATATGTTTGATCGTATCCTTGACCTGATGTATCCTTGACCAGTACCATGGTAAAGAAAGAAACGACACCAAAATTGATTAGAATATCATTCAGCTGCGTGTCCAAAGCACTTATTTTCCCGAAGAAGTGAGATAAGTCTTTGACGTGGTTGGTTTTATCCAGTTTCCTTATTGTTCAGAACTTCCTTGGCGTAACTTTCATCCATAAAGAGTATGATGATCTTCTCATCAGCATTCAATCGTTTGAGAGCTACACGTTCTTTGGCACTGACTTCCAGTGGCTTGACGCATTGAAGGATACGTGCAATTTACTGAAAGATATCTCCTCCGCTATGATTTTATTTCGGCCACTATATTTCCGACAGGAAGTTTGAAAAGAACCATTTCCTCTATGGACAAGAACGTCTCTACGAAAGGAAGTTCAACTTCTTGTTAGACGACTGAATTCCAGCCGGATTGAAAAAGTATATTTGCTGTGCTCAAATATATATGATATTTCATTGAGCGCTGCTTCATATGTTCAATTTAGATTGAACATAGTGAGTGTGAGATATCATCAAACTTTTATAATCGTTTGAAAGACCATTTGAAGCCATTATAATGTTGAATATAACATCGTTGGTCGCCACGGCTTCTCTGGGTGCGGCTTATTCGCATTCCCTTGCGATTTAAGACAACCCCACAAGAAAAAGTCTAACGGGTTCAAATCGCACGATCTTGGTGGCCAATTCACATCACCTCCATGTGAGCTGTGTAGCATGTAGGGCCGTCCTATTGGAATCATATGTCGTTGGTGTCTTGATTATTCAGTTTAGGCTAGAAGCAGTTGGTAATCATCGACCTATAGTGCTCGCCGTTGACAGTAATGCCCTATCCAACGTCGTTCTCAAATTAACATGGACCGATGACGCCAAGAGCCCAAAATCCACACCAGAGACTTTCTTGGGATGTATTGGAAGAAAATAATGACGAATGAGCAATAATCATAACACGATACTCAAAATAAATACAATGCCCCGATTAACAAATAATTACTATTTTACAGAATCTGACTGTTCTAATATGTTTCATAATTCTCTAATTTTGATAGGAGATGTTCTTCAATCATTTTTCAAATGAGTATTCCTTTCAAAGCTCAGAAATGATGCGACAAAACTGACATTCATAAAATTGACCAGTAATTTGGTGATGAAATTGATTCGATTTGAATATTTTGTTATAATATGGATGCATTCAGCTAAAATTATTTCACAGTGACTGTAATATTGACAATAATACATTACTAGACTTTATTTCAAGTGAGAAAACTCAAATTAATGTGTATATAGAATGAAATTCACCAACAGATTGAACAGATTCAAAAGACCAAAATAAGAAAAGAATTGCTTCTGATTCACATAACCCCACGAAATATTATAATCAGAACTTATTGGTATGATAAGATATTTTCATTTAAATCGAAACAATATTCTGAATAGTAGCAATTTCTCCAAAAGTGAGAAGAATACGCGACCTAATTTTTTCAAGGATAAAACACAAGCACTACGGGAACATCCTTAAGGAGATCTATCCTACTGCGTCTAGCCGCGTCAAGTAGGTCTGGTAAACCGGATGCTAGCGGTGCGGTCTCATGTCGAAGCACGATAGATTTCAACAATTTAATCCAGTTCTTGAAGAAAATGAGAATTCGATCATTTACGTAGTCTATTCATATATTCATCGTGTCTTTGATCATTTTATTCCGAAACAAATGTTATTGTTGGAATTTCTTGTTTTTCAGGTAATTGAATTGATTCAATTTCAGAATTGATATTTTGTTATTATAGCCATGCATTTGGCTGAGAATATTTTGGTAATTATTCGTGACGAATACCACTCGACCTGAAAATTTTATCAGAAAAACATCTAGTTTTTCAAACTTTGAGAAACACTAATCGAGCAACCAGTAATAGATAAAACCTACGAGTCCTACGGACTGGCGATTTTATCATGCTGCTTGTTCTCACTGTATTGCTGAATAACATAGTTTTCGTTGAAAAATAAAAATCAATCGATGACATTGTGAAGTCTTATGGTATTATTTTCGATAAAACTATAGATTCTAGGAATTTTCCGTTTCACCAAGAGTGTTATTATACCGCTTGTTCATTTGTTGTGTTCTAAAGTAGGTGCTAGATAACGCTTTATTCGGAATCTAAATGATATATGATAACGACTCTACGAATTTTTCCTTATTGATTCTGATAAATATGGATGAGAAGATCAATATATGATTCCGTTTCAGAATTTAGAAAGTGATTTTTGGTCTACATATTGGTCTACTTTGTAAAAGATAATACAAATACATCAGTATATTTCGTCGGGTTTGAGGGCCATCGTACTTTGTGACACCTTCCTAGTGTTTGGCTACAACGCTTGGCTAGCTTCTTCAGAAGTGTTTTCATTGCCGAGAAAGCATAACATTTTCTATTACACGAATAACTTGAAATACACTTTTCCGCAGATGAATTATGACAGGTAAAACTGTAACCTCTAACGTATTCCCAAACACCAGAAATGTGCGTCGAGAAGAATGTTGCAGTCCTAGTGTTTGTGTACAATGCATGTTTAGAATCACAGGTTGATCGTTCAATTTTAGCGGAACACCTGGATTGCGTTCATTAACACACCCAGAGTATGATAACTACCCCTAACCTAACCTAACTACCCCTAACCACCCCTAACTACCCCTAAATACGGTCTTATTCCAAATCGTTCTTCGTACTCAGACTATAACTTAGCAACTGCTGGACTCTTGCTACTCTCTACACACTCGCCAGTAGTAAGTTTATGAACGCAACCCAGGACAAGTAAAACCGTTTTGCGATCATATACATTTGTTTGTATTCAATACTCTGATTAAAGGTTTTCCAAATGTCGGTATAGTATTTCCAATACCAATTGGAACAGCACAGAGAAGGAATTCCCTCCTCGACATAGGCGTCGGCATCACATATAATGTGATTCGATGTGATAATAGCAGCAGGCATACTGGAGGGGTTGTCATATATACAGGGTGATTCAAAAGTACTTTGACAAACTTAGGAGGTGATTCCTCACAATATTCTAATACGAATTTTCCAAATAAATAAATGTCCGGAAACGCTTCGTTTCCAAGATACAGGATGCTGAAGTTTCATTTTTATTTTCGTTTTTTTCAAATACTGAACTTAATTAAACGAAACTTGGTAATATGAGGTTTTTGAGGTGTCGAATTCGAACCTGATGTTCTTATTGCTCTTACTCGTAGGGGGCGCCACCTACACGTCTTTTGCTTTTTTAAAGATTCATAACTTTTTTGGGCGTACTTCTAGCACATTTTTCAGTAGAATAATCATATCTACGTAAATAAGCTACCCTTGTTGTCGGAGCGGAAGAAAGAAAGGACCTATCAAGTAATTATCAATTATTGCCGCCCATACATT